CACACACACACACACACACACACACACACACACACACACACACACACACACACAAGCCCCAACACATTCTGTATGCAAAACTACAAAAGTAAATCTCAGAACTGAGTTCAATATGAAATTTGACTTTTCTCGGTCAATATAATAAATGCAATTTCTACTTGGCCATTTATAAATTAACATTAAAATGTTTTTAAAGCCCCTGTTGAAAAAAAGAGCTCTGACAGAGAATCATCTGGTGCATTTTGATAACTTTGAAGTGAGTTTTCGCTTGATGACTGCGGACAGAAAAAAGCTTGGTGTGGAAATTTTATTTGCCCATGAGTCTGAAGGCTTTGGCTGTGCCGTCCTGAGGAGGTTTGAAGAGGGAGCACTGTATTACTTCACTGCTGCATCCAACTGCTGTGAATTAAACACCGTGGATGCCAAAGACGTCTCTCTCAGCTAATTAGAATAAGAACGCAGTGATACCTGAAAGATGGTGAATGTTTGGCAACATCATGCCATCTGCTCTGCGGGAATCATGGTTTTGTGTGTGTGCGTGTGTGGATTTGGTTGTGCATGTGTTTTATCTATATGTGTTTATAGGGATGTCTGGTGAAGCCTTATGTTCATCAAGGCTGCATGTACTTTTGTGTGTATTCGTTTGTGTGTGTGCTGTTCGTTCATTCTCCCGTTCTAAGCAAGACACAACCGAGTCACCTGTCAAGCCTGGTGTGTCACAGAGAGGTGGGAAGCATGCCCAGACAAATCTACACACAGATACGCACGCACAAACACCCAAGTGCATTTATACACTTTCATTTACCGAATTCAGCAGCATTTGTTCTTGATCTTGCCCTCTAACAGTTGTGACAAAATCAGAAAAGTCCTCATCTTTCTATGCCTATGACGACATCCAAGTCCATAAATAGACACGTGCACGGAGTAGCACCCTGTGCTGCCTCTTCCACTCTGTGTCCCTGGCTAAATCAGCATAGGTCTTGACCTTTAGAAATGCCAACTGTTCCGACACATCCCTCTAACTCCACATCTCTTTCCAACTCCACCTGTGAGGCTCCAACTCATCAACCCCCAGCCCACCTGTCAGCTCTGAGGGAGGCACCAATCAAACTCTCCTGCATCCCAGGGCTGAACCATCTGTCCTGTTCTGGAGGCTTGAGCCAGATAGTGTTTTCTGACCCTTGTCCTGATCCTGGGGTCTCAGGTAAAGGTTGACAGTAGGCCAAATCAGAGAACTAGATGATGAGAAAGTCTTTAAAGTCACAGCTACTTGATGCCACCTCTGACGATGTACACAACATCTCGAGGGTGTTATATGTTACCAACGACACAGAGTCACGACTACTGTGTTCAAAGCCAGCAACTACTGCTGGGCTACATCCTACATCCTACACTGTAGTACAGTACAAAAACAAGGGCAGGTGACGAAAGGAGGAGGCCCAAAGTCAGGAAGGAGGAAAAGGAAAGGAATACGAACAGGAAATATTGGGGAGGGTTGACTCTTTTTTTAAGCTGAGCAGAAAGGAGAAAAAAGGAGAGGGAAGAAGGTCAAGCTGACAAAGTGAAGGGTGAGAAGAGGGGGGGGGGGACTGGGGGAGGAGGGTTGCTTGTATGAACTCTTAAACCCAGTATGTCAGCCAAGACAGGAAAACCAATCTCCTTCATGGTTGAAAGAAAATACTGACTAATACTTTTGCCCCCTAGTCCCTTTAGCAGAATGGGGTGTCAGTTTTGCTAATTCTGGTCTATTTTGCTCCAATACAACCAAAAATATTTAGTGTATCAAAATCATGGCAAGGCTAGATGTGTTTCTAAAAGCAGTGGTGAGACAGTATGAGAACACTGACTGTGGCACAGTGTGTCTTAGCATAATATATATTTTATAAGATCAACATTCAATTTCCTGCACAAACCCAAGAAAAATAATAATAATCGTTAGTGCAGCGGCAAAGCAAATGTAATAAGATCACGATAAGATGACCTCAGTCACGGCACATTTCCTCTCTGGTCCTCTTTTATAAATTGTGTGGATGAAATGAAAAAGCACCACGCCAGTGAGCGATGACACGGAAAGACGACACCTTCCCCATGGAGCTTTAAAATGTATCTTTTGCCTTCATCACGACTTTGTTATTGTTAAACTGTTGTCAAAGGAATGTAAGATTCTGTAAGATTTCTCTGTCAGCTGGGGAAAAAATTCTTTGACATTTTGATGCTTGAAGCTGCGTGTCACGCTCACAAAATGTGGGTTGAAGTGAAAGCCACACACAAATGTAAATGACCTTTTATTTCACACCAAAGCTGAACAGAATTAACAAATAAATAGCTACATTTTATAAGTGATTTTAAAAACTTCTTCCTAAGGCACTGACATTTAAAAAAACGACTTTTTACTTTTATTTGCACATCAAAGAGTTCTTATATTTGCTACCAGTGACAATGTGTAGGCTTTTATACACCCATAAATATATATAAATACACACTCTCATACACGTGAGAGTGTGGGCAGTAACAGAGATGATAAAAAAAAACGTCTGTGGCAGGTCTTGAGCACATCACAATGAGATTTGGACTGTGGGTGGAGAGTATCTGAGGACTCCTGAGGTTGATATTGCCACAGTTACATTCCCCACTGGGAGGATGAGATTAGCTTAGAACACTAGCAACCCACCATGCTATCATGTAGATGTAGTGTGATGCACTTCTAGCATATGTCACTAGTGTATGTGGGTTTATCTTGTCTGTGCTTACATATGACTTGGTTATGACACTAGTTGCATATTACACTGCTATTTAATTTCACGACGTGGAGGATCCACAGTCCAACTCGTCATCTATTACATTTTAAGTGCTCCTGCGAATAAACTGCATCAGAAAGTACATTTGTATAAAATGTAATCTCAGCTACATTTATTACATCCACCCATTATGTCATAAATAAGTAACATGACTTCCCAACATTTCTTTGTACCAAAAACAGCAAAGCAAAGGGTTTTGCATCAGCTATTGTGCACAACTAGTCAACTATCATCAGGAAAGACTGAAATATAATGCTCTTTTAAATATCTGTGAATTGTTTTTGCCTTTTTCACACTCTGCCTTCAGTTTCAGCTTTGCACAACTCTGTGATCAAAGAAGAGGACTGAAGGGAGCAACCTGACTGCTTCCACGCACGATCAGACACTTGGCATTGATGGTAGGGAGGTGGAGTCAGATGCTGAAGTCAGTCTAACTAAATCTCCACAACGACTTTGTCTTTGGGTTGAAGGTCTCTGCATCTTACTCTGTTTCACCCACGCATGACGCACTTGTGTCGAGATTCACTTATCCTCATCTCCCTGTTCTCTTTCTTCAGCCATCTATCTCTATTCTATTCTCTCTGCTTGATTGAATTCGGGAGAGGCTCTTTGCTGAAAACCCACCAGCTGAGACAAAAGCAGAGAGACAATCCTCGCTGTATGAGACACACGAGCACACGCAAGGAAAAGCTCTAACCAGGGACAAGAAAACAGACACAAACCTACAAACAGGCAAAAGCAAATACACACATGAGGGCTTCAAACACACAGCAAAGGATTTAGAGGGTGTCTTAAAGATTTGTATTCCTCCTTCGATAAGCAGCGCTTCCCATAAAAGCTCTCTGACAGCAGGTTATCGTGCAAATGTTCAGGCTGTTTTGACGGCACCTTTTGAAGTAAATAAACTCACGTTGGCAGCCAGCTGAGATGTCAGAGTCGCCACCTTCTCCTGAGAGGCGTCCAGCTCCCGACGCAGCTTTCTGATTTGCTGGTTGGGAAGGAAAAACGAAATGTGAACGTTCGGTTAATGCGCCTAAAAACCATAAAGAAAGTAAGACTGATTGTGATGTAAACACGATGTGAATTTGAAACTCCCATGGTGATAACTCTGATGTAAAAAGAAAACTGTGCAGGCACATGGGAAACTGTTTAAAAAGACACTGGGGTGAAGTGTGAACATAAAGTGTGGGGGATTACCGTGGAATTTTGGACTGTTTGGCCCTTGATTGAAAAGAAAAGAGTAAAAATTAACGCTATGTTGCATGCCTCCATCAAATAGCAAGTCCTGATGTGGCTGGAGAGACAGAGGTTATCAACAAGCCACAGCAATGTTCTTTTCATGGTTTCCGCAGCAAAGCGAGGAAATGGAGACATTTATGCCTGAGATGGTTCAAAAAGTTTTTGCAAATACCTGAAATTCATACTTATATAATTCACAACAGCAAGACGTCTCAGTTTAGCAAGGCGGACAGCTCAGTGCAAGAATGCAAGAACAGTTTTCTGGATTATCATATGATAAGATTAGCTGTATATTTTTATTCAGTCACCCAAAAATATAATGTCCTTTTTAATATTTGTTTTGAATTCTAAATGTGTTTAGATTTACTGCACAGTCACTGTAGTCCACAACTGTTAGTTTGCACAGAGTGAGCTGTCCCGGAATACTAAACTCCACTTATCTGGCAGGGTTAAAACAAACACTGCAGTGTATTTGCGATCACTGTTTGACCCAAAGTTACGCTTAAAGCACATGTAGAGACAAAAGGGATGAAAGTCAAACCATAAAACTGGAAAATCAAAGTAGAATCAGTGATAAACTGAATAGGCTTTTTGAACAAGAGCCAAAGGTCAGGGCATGGATCCCATTACAGAGTAAGTGTTTGTAATGAGTTAACAATAAGCTATGCAGAATAGTAAGGATGTGTAGATATTTATGATCTAGATGAAATCAATGCATGATTAGATAAAGCAATGCAACATAGAGCTAAAATAATTGATTGCAGAATTTACTTTTATTTATTCACAAAACACTCTTTTGTTTAGTTCAGAAATCAAATAGATATCACTGTTTGTGCTTTGATTGACATGCACAGATTGTCTCTGAATACAGACGCTGTGCAGCACAAAGACATTCAGACACAGAAATCAGCCAACAGGGACATGCACGTGACACCTTAGACTAAATCCCACACAAAATCAAATCAAATAGGTCAAAAGTAACCTTTAGGGATGTACAGCAAGGCACAAGGCACTCGAACCTTCACCCACACCACAGAGCTGCTCAGTGGCTGTACCGAGCAGTTTCAAGGCATCGGTGGCTCTAATTATAAGCCTGTTTAGCTGAAAGCTGATAAGGAGAAGCATACATGCAAACAGAAAGATGGACACAATGTTAGCCGCCCTTACCTCTGAGTGAGCTTTTTCCTCTGTCTGTAAGAATCAAGCAAACACAGTTTAGAAACATTTGATCGCTGCTCTGGGGAGATGTGTTCCATCAGTAAAAGCACCAAAAGCAAAGAAAAGGGTCATTTTAATTAAAAGTAGATTAAAATGACAGAAAATGTAAAAAATTAAAGAGGAAATGGTTTATGTACAGAATGACTCAACCTGATGGAAAACTTTGTAAACAAAACCATCTCCATCATTCATCTGAACGTTTACTTTGCAAATTGCTAGCGCAGTCTGAAACGGGCAGACGTGTGTGGTAATCGATTCCTCTTGCTACAACTAATCCCCCACCTCACTGAATCCGAGAGTCGAGCACTGCATGTGCTATTACTGCAGAATCTAAATTGTCAAGAATTTGTTACTTCAGACAAATGCTGTCACAGAAACTTGCTTTTGTCTTCTACAAAAATAGAGAGGAAAAGGGAAAGACTGAATGCTACGTAACATCACTGATAGGAGAGGACGGAAAAGATGTTCACTCTTCAAATTAAAAAATAAAGATGATTTCAGTTTTATTTTATTTTTGTATGCAAACATATGAAGTTTGGAGCTCAACAGAAAAAATGTTTGAAACAGTCTGAAGATCAATCTTGTTTTAAATACTGGCAGCTAGAGATGGGCATCGTTTAGGTTTGATCCAATACCGGTGACAAACTAGTACTTTTGAAATGGTGCTGAACCGTTGAACACAAACTTTGCCCAAAAACCTCTTATGTTTAGCTGTTTTTGTGTAAAAAGATAACAATGTTAGCCTTTTCTGCAGCTATAGGGCATATATGGTATCACTCTTGGCTGGAAGCAGTGCTTAAACAATGGAAAAAACAAACTTTGTCCAAAAGCCTCTCATGTTTAACTGTTTTCCACTTTTTCTTTGGTCATTTTAGCCTTTTTGGCCTACTCAACGTAAATTCCACACAAACAACATCAAGCTTCACACACAGAGAAGAACGGCTGCTGCTGCCATCATCATCCGTCATCATTTCTGCTACACTGGCAGGGCTAGGGGCCAGGACTCTACTCTTCTGGTTCTTGGGGGACGTTGCTAACTCCGGGTCCGATAACAGGCACCACACCCGCAGTAGATGTGCTCGGTGTGAGCTCTTGCAGCCAAAGCTATCAAATACGGTGCATTTCTCGGCTTTTAAAAAAACGCTATGCGTCGCCAGGTGTTTCATCGGATTTGATGCTTTAGGGTGATACTGTGCAAAGGAGGTTATCCTTTGCACAGTATCACCTTAAAGCACTTGTTGCAGGCTGCTGAGTTTGGTGGGGAGTACAGCCAGACTTTTGCCCGCTTCGCCTTGGGCATTTTTAATCTGTAGCTCTGCTCTAAAAGAACGTACGTACCTGGGCCCGCCTACTATCCTTGGAAACGTAAAATGATTGGCTAGAATCCAAAGTGTATGACATCTCAGGAAAAAAAAAGCACCGAAATAAAGCACCAAAATGTGCGCTGCTTTTCGGTCTGGTTACTACCGTTTATGTCAGAACCGGTGCTACCGGTACCCATCCCTACTGGCAGCTGCCAGTGTTACCCCTCAGCCTGCATGTAGATGCACCTATGGCATCACTTTGAAAGTCCTAGATGACATCCTCCTTGATGTATTGTGTTCACAGGATGTGAGTTCACTGAATTTGGAACTCAAATTTTCAGTAGATGCACCAATGGTATCAATTTCAAAACACATCATCATACGTCGCCTTGATCTCAGGTTTTTTTTTTTTGTTTGTTTTTTTTGCCTGTCCCGTTTGGCTCTTTTGCCATCAGAATTGTTGTCTAAAGGCAAAGAAAGATGCCCAACGGATTTACTTGACCAAATTGACCATCCCAGCCTTGCCATAATGGTCCATTTGATCTCAGGTTATCGCATTCACAAACTTCAGTGTCCACGCTATTCATCCAACTCCCTGGTGGGGTGATGACAATACCCCATCAGCCTTTTACAATTGAAGGGTAAAGGCTGATGGGGTATTGCCATCACAAAAAAATTCCTATAGATGCATTTCCTTTTGTAGTACTTGTGTAAACCAGTACAGCTGAAGTACTCATCACTGTTGTAGTAGTAGTTGTGATCTGAACAGTCAAGCAGGAATATGTCACCATTATTTTTGTTCCCTCCACTTTTTTATGGTGGCGTCTAGGGGTGGGTGATATAGACGATATACGATAGAAACGATATAAATTTGGCCAACAATAAGAGATTTTGACTATACCGCTCTATCGCAATACTGCATGTTGATGTCATCAAGCTGCGCCTGTTTTGGTCGAAAACATCGCAGTGGCTACAACCATTATCATCTGCAAATTATGCCGACAGTCATAGCAAAGAGACGAAGCACTTTTGAAATATGGGGAAATCCAAAAACTGCATTTCCCCCACTTCCGTACCATTGATTCATTAATGTTGAATTCTCTCGCAGCTGCTCTGTTCCCATGTTGCTGCAGTATATTAATAACTAACCTCGTATTGTGGATGAATGATCTCAGTTGTTCTCCTGACTGAAGTTTGGCCCGTGTACAGCATCCTGCTATGCGATTGCATTTGTCCCTGACCACCAGAATCCCTCACGTTAACTTTTATCGAGTGGAAAAAAAGTTGGCGTTCATCCTGCAGCTTCACTGTGCTAATGTTATGCTAACATAGCTGTGTCGCTAGCAATCACGTAGCACAACATTATATACCAGGTAGTCCAACTTCAGTAACCCTGCAAATGCCACTGCTGTTTAGTTTCCTGTCTTCATTTATGTCGGAAGTGGTAGCAGAGGTGGAAACTAGCGAGCTAACTTCCTGCTAACTTCTAACTCCATTAAATTTAATAACTTCTGTTTTCATGGATGCCTGGATGTAAAACTTAATTGTTACACCTGGTAAAGCAGCAACGCTGATCATTTTATTAAAGAATTTAGACCGTTTTTAACTCTGTGTTCATTTGACTTTGGGGCCTGAAGAGGACCAAGTTTTGGACCCAGATTACTCCGCGAAGCTCCTCACTACGGCAGCCGTAATGCTCTGACAATCCATCAAGCAGTGCGGCTTACCAAAGTTGTACTAAAACATTTTTTAACAGATTTCTGCAGCCCAAATCGGTTCGAGGTCAGTAAGCACAACCAGAATTCATACATAAGGCACACTCGCGGTTTTTGAGAAAATTAAAGGATTTTAAGTGTGCCTTATAGTGTGGAAAACACGTTATACAGAAGAAAAGAATATATTGCGATATATATCGTTACCGCACGTGCTTCAAATGATATCGCGACATGAATTTTAGGCCATATCGCCCAGCCCTAGTGGCGTCTTCTTAAAGGCTAGAAGCCAAAAGAGAAAGGCAGAGAAGATGCTAAACTGCTTTTGCCAACTTCAAAATGCTCTATGTGAGTGGAGGAAGGCATCAATTAGGACTGAATAAAATATTGTCACCCAATCCTGGTAAATATTTGCAAATAGTTACAGTCAATTCCTTTTTCTGAAAATCCTTCTGAACACAGTGATTCTAAGTAATTATTTATATTACAATATAGAAATTGACATGTTTGTATGGAATGCTATTACTACAGAAAAAAAAATAGAAGTGAAATCTCAGATATATTGCTATGGTTAGGGTTTTTTTCTCAGTAGGGATTTCTGTCACACTTCTTAGATACTTACCGCAGAATACAGTGACGACGTGCTGGAAACCAAAGACAGTGAGGAGCCATGGACTGTAAGACACAGAGACGGTGCACATGAGTAAACAAAGACTTTTAAGGTAAAACATGGATATTTGTCCTTTAACTGTCTTCACCTTGTGACTCAGTTTGCAATACTTATATTATTACAAATTATTTGGCTGATTGGTCAGCAGCTCTTATGCTTACTTATTCAGAAAATGTAAAGTGAAAAATTGCAATCAGTTGTGGGACTAAAAAAAAAAACCAATTTAAAATGCTGACCAGAACAGAGACCTATCAGCAATGCTGGTATCAAAGCACTTGATAGCTGGTGGGACTTTGCTTTGTTGAAAGTGACAGTAAAAACTGTTTTCACTGTTTTAGCTTCTTTGTGAGGAATTGGGTTTGTTCTGGACAGTCCGTCGAGAATGAGTGTGTGTCTCACCTTCATCAGTGCTGTCTCTGAAGGACCCAGAGCGGCTGATGGCACGTGGTCGTTCCTCCAGAGAGGTTGCGCTGCCACCCAGTGGGTGACCCTCTCCATACAGGTCAAAGGAGTCCTGGGTGGGGATACTGTTGGAGCGGCTCATGCTGCTGCTGCCTGGTGGCAGGTTATACTGACTGATGTTGGTGGGGCTCACTGCACAGAGCAAAACATATACATCTACCATGTTATATTTTCACGTGCGTTTCAGTCATCAATCATTCATGCAGGCACTAAAAACCTACTTATAACAAGTTGTTAAATAATAATCATCTCAGATTATTTATTTATGCACTGAAGAATGCTTTAATTAATTACAGATCATATCACAAGGATCCTTTTTGTGCTCATATGTCTATCATAGCCTTTGTTGATACGATATACACATTTTAGGCACAATAGGTTTTTTCCTTTTGACTCACAGAGGTTGGAGTAGTGGTATTTTCCTGTGGTGGTGCAAGAGGCTCCAGGAGGAGACAGAGGGGACTGGCTGCCAGTATCCTGAAGACCTCCTGTTGAATGGGACCTCAACCACTCCTTCCCTTCTTCATGAGATGTCTGCCTGGAGGAGGTAGGGTATCTGAAACCCACAAAACACACTTTAAACTCAAGGCAAGACATTACTTTTTAGTAATGAACTTCATTACTTAAAAGTTCAAGTGATGAAGACGTGTAAACTAATGAAGCTACACAGTAGAAGGATGTGAGCAGATGGCATAAAAATATTAAAAACCATACCACACAGAAGTGGATGTGCATGCATCTACACGCATGCAGTCATTTATGTATAATAACTATATATATTCACACACACACACACACACACACACACACACACACACACACACACACACACACACACACACACACACTCTTTATACATAACACACTACTCAGGCTTAAAGCTGCCAAACACACAGACTCTGCTGTTGATCTCCTCTCTCCCAAACTCTAAAGTAATTCAGCAGCAGAAGCCCCCCTTATCGCACACATGACAATCGGCCATATTTAATCCTCTGAGGATGATAATTGAGTTTGCACTCATCTCTTTTCAGCGGCTTCTTCCTTCCAACGCCCCCATTACTATGCTTGTCACATCTGACCCTGCTCTAGTCCTGCGTCTGTGCTCGCTTTTCTCTCCAGCAGCAATTGGGCGTCTAAGATTGCACTGAGTGCTGTCAGACTGCAGCTGGAGTTGAAATGGAACAGACTGAAATATCCAAGGGTCAGTGTTTGAGTCGGTATACTTAGTGCTAATATAATCACAACCAATCCGCTTATTTACAGCGTATGACTAAAGGAGGCAAATCTATTAATCTAAGCTCCCCATGTAGAAAGTCTACAGTTTATAAAAGAGCTATTTGGCATGTTTAAGATGAAAACAGATTGCCATTGCCAATAAAAACGTTAAAGTGAACACTGCAGACCGCACTGAGGCAAAAAAGGCAAAAGCGTCGTGCGAGATCAGATGGTTTTAGGCTCCATATAGCACGAGCGTCAAATGCTCGAAAAATGAAAGAACACCCAGCATGCCCCATCCGACAGCAGTACTCTATAATTGGCTGGAAAGGCTGTTCCCTGTATCAGTTGTGCCACTGTGATGATAGGTCATGGTGCTTCAGTTTCCGTCCACTCAGTTACAGCTAAATTCAAAACATTCATTCTATACTCGCCTCAGCTAACAGAGCAAATGTTATCGGAAAGTTTAAGCCATTTTCGGAAGCCGAGAAAGAACTCAGTGGCTGCGTTTGCCACATTTCTAACTTTGCATGAGATGAGTGTAGTATTAGGATGAGCACAGAGAAGCAGACAAGCAGACAGATGGAAAAACACACTGCTCCCTCATCATCCCAGATAGCATTCATAGTATGTTAGAGATTATTTTTTTTTATGCATCAATTCAAAGAAGTCAAAATCTAATTTGAGCTCCAGAGTTTGTTACATGATAAACAGAAGGGAAAAAAACTCTAAAAGTTGAAAGAGAAAAAATCCATAACTAGACTCAAATATGAGTTCCCTATATATTTAGTCAAATGTAAACAGACTGTATGTGAAAAGATGGACATAGTTTATTGGGCTAAAAAAAGGAGGTTTTCAAACGACATTATTCCTAGGCAGCGGGGGTTGACTCCTCAAGATGAAAACAAGACTGTGGGAAAACAATGCTTGTGACCTCAATAAACATTTTCCTGGTGAGTTAGGCTCTGTAGTTTAAAGTCTTAATAAACACAACAGGATATTCATTTGTAAATTATTGATAAAGCAGGTCATGCTTTATTAGTGTCTCAAGGGAATTAACCATCCATTTAGGTGAGATTATGGTGGCGATGTTTGCTTTTTATCAACAGCCTTTGATCAGTGCTTGACTTAAGTGCTAATATAATCAGAACCAATCTGCTTGTATCACTAAAGGAGTCACACACTGTAAATCTGCAGTTCATAAAAGAGCTATTAAGCATACTTAGGATGTAAACAGATGGTGTAAACATAAATGTTTACGCTCATTTTTTTTTATATCGACTCTCAGTTTTTATTTAATCTTCAAAAAGTTTTTATTGAGCAGTAGTTTTTTATTGACCCACATCCTTATCAAACCTGTGTACTTTATCATTATCACCTCAGCCTAATTATACATAATTCTGAACATGAACTGATGGAGAGTGGTTGAAAAACTAGTTAATAATTTTTATCGATTCATTTATCTAATAATTTAAAGCAGGGGTGTCCAACTCCAGGCCTCAAGGGTCGGTGTCCTGCAGGTTTTAGATATCACCTTGGGTCAACACACCTGAATCAAATGATTCGTTCATCACCATTTAGCCATTTAGGTCATTTACCCATTTAAATCAGCTGCCACCGCCTTTGAGGCTTGGAGTTGGACACCCCTGCTTTAAACTAAATATTTTACTGTTTATTGATGACTTTTACCTGGGAAACACTGCTATGGATTGTGCAAATAATGACACATGAAAAACAACACGGAAAGCCTGACATTAGAATGCAGATGCATGTATGCATGTGATCTACATGGAATGTGGCTGCAAATGTGTTGTACCTCAGTCCCTTTTTGGGAAGTGTGTTTCTGTCAAGTGGCATGCTGTTAAAACACAGAGGATGAGCAAATTAGATGAACACCTGTAAACATTTGTTTTGTGATACACAAGAAAAAGAACTGGTCACATTTTACAAACTTGACTTTTGACATACACAAAGATGCACACAATGGAAAATCCATTAAGACATTACTAATGCACCTCAGTGCAAAAGACTACGTGGATAAAACAGGCAGAATTGAGATTGTTTCATTTTTGAGACAGCTGAACTAGTGAGGGGAAATAAATGTGTTTGCTGCTTCTATGCTCTATGATGTAATTCATGCATAGTGTGTGGACAAAAAAATGGAAAGGCCTTTATAGAGGCTACACGTAGGAATGGGTGTCAGAAATGATCTACTGTGGTATTTTTTCTGTCATGGCTTTGGACTGTGAAACTATCAGGACTGTTAAATGTCTTTAATGCTAATTGCTATCCTTATAGCACTTTGAGACAATAACTACTGATTGAACTAGCAGATATGTGAAATTTAGGAGTAGAGGAGGTATTATTTATTTATTTTCTATAGTATCAAAACCATGCCAGAAAAAGAAACTTAAATTGAACCAAACTGTTTTGTGAATGAATGATTTCTTTCTGTTATTCATCTGTATTGTATATCTACATCTTAGGATAGGGAGATAAACGTTTTGTCTCTGTTCTCAAATGAAACAATGAATACGATTCTTCCCAATCGTATTCCCTGTTACTCACCCCTCAGACAGGGTGGACTTGACACTGCCGGTTCGTGTAACCTTGGGCCCATGGTGGCCCAGCGGCATATCAATGGACTCAGAGCTGGTGTGCAGACTGGTCATGCTTTGGCAGCTCAGTGTGTCCTTGCTGCCAGCAGATGAGCTACAGGCAGGCCAGGGCCGAGCGTTGGAGGGCAGGGAGAGGCCAGAGGCTGGGCTGGAGGCCGGGGAGTCGGTGCACATGTCTGGGGTTTTACCATACAGAGGGCTGCTGCCACCGCTCAGGCCGCCAGCGCTGCCCAGGCTCCCAGTGCCAGAGGAAGGCGAGTCCAGACTGGCTTGTCTCGCCAGTGTGCCGTGCGGGCTGCCCAGTATTGAGGGGCACTTGCCAGAGTCGGGCGTGCCAGGAGAGCTGGCCTTGCTGCTAGCTTTGGTACCAAACAATCTGAGGGCAGAGAGGTGGGTGCAATCATTTAGAAATGCTCAAAAGACAAGTGATGAGCATCTGCAAGATCCTTACTGGAAAATTTAAGGACTCTGGTATACTTCGGGTGTGACAAGTGCAGTGATCTCACTGGTCAAACATTACAAAGAAAACTACTACAATGGTCACAAGAAACCCATTTTAGGATAGTGGAAAGCAGCTTTTATAAACATCCCCTTGCTTTGCTGTAGCAACAACTTTATATAACAGATAACAAATATTAAGCACATTTTACAATACATTTCTCCCTGGCAGCGAACTCGACCTCGGCTAGATGTGAACTCTCAGTGATTTACACTGACACATCTGCTTTCACAGCTTCGCCGTTTCAACCCTGTGACTTTAAATAACCTAATCTGTTAGGCCACTCAACCCTGTTTGCCTTCTGCATATGCTCAGGCAGCCTGCTACTCTGCTTGTGCCTGTCCCACTCTGTCACCGCAATCACACAATATATAGGTGACACACTCTGGGGGAAGAAAAAAAGCTATGACATGCAGATGAAACGTGTTGGCTTGACAGATTGGATGGGACGGATGTTTGGACGCGCCTGCCGAATGCATGCTTCTAATGAGTGAGGGACTGGTGTGCAGAGAAAGTCCTGTCTCTTGTCAGTTCTGATAAACACTGCTGGGTTGAATTTGCTGAATGAAAAGCCATCAGACCCTCATCTTCAGGGTAAAGATGTGTTGCATTTGCAGTGACTTATCAGCTACACCAGGGAGCAATCTATGTTATGGCACCCCTTAGCTATGCAGCCAAGTCTACTGACTCTATCAATATTTCCACGGAGGCAATCTAATATGATTTATTAAGTGTCTGATATTCATCTTGCACATCCAAACATATCTAAAATTGATAGAGATGGCATATATTTTAAGTGAAACTTTGACATTATGGATATCTTTTCTCTAACCTGCAGTGGAAAAGCGTCACTAAACACCACGTATCATAATGGATTAAACTCGCCTAAATTCTGGAGAAGATATGGTGAAAAGATTCAGTCTTTTAAAAAAACTGCCCCAAATGTCCTTGCTGTAAAAGATGCTGCTTTTAACTAACAATCAGGGAATTGAAAAAATGTGATGAAATGCTGGATTCACACAGAAACACAAAGTCAGGGACAAAGACAGAATGAGTGCAGTGTGTGCGTATGGTGTATCAGACCTGCGAAAGGTTGGAGAAGCGATATCGGGGTACTTGGAGCCTGGTTGCCTGAGGCCTGACTGGCCTGTTGAGGTGGAGGTGGGGCTAGACTTTGGGGAGGTGGATAGTCCTGCTGCTGGGTCTTGATCTGACACCGCCACTTTCTCCTTATCGGTCTGGTTGATGGTGATGGGACTAGAGCGTTCTGAGCCCACTTTTCCATCCCTGCGTTTAGTGCCTGTTTGCGTTGTTGCCCCACCAGCTGACTTGCCACTGACATTTGAGTCGATGCTGCTGGAGCTGGAGCGATGCCCACTGCGCCCTGCGGCCACCCCACTGGAGGATTTAGCTGGCCTGGGTAAGGAGCGGTACTGCAGGGTCACTTTCGAGCCACTGCAGCTGAGCAGGATGCCATCATCCTGGGGCTGTGAGCCATCCAGACTGGTCTTCCGCACACCACTGATGCTTGCACCTTTGCTGATGGCAGCTGAAGATTTGGGTGCCTTGCCCAGGGTGGCTGAGCCACTGGCGAGTATCGCACCACTGGAGGTAATTAGCGTGCCAGTGGCACCCTGGATCTTCTTGTAACCAAATGAGCCTGCGGTGGGTGGGCGTGTGATGCCAGAAGGGGGTTTCTTGCCTTCGTCCCCACTACTCCTGCCAGCATCTGAGGGTGAGCGCTGGATGCCAGATGAGCTCTTGGAAGGCACCTTACCCTTCTCTGAGGCTTTTGCATCATCGGTTTTGCCTGTCAAAGTACACAAATCCAAAAATATCACCAATCATCACATCATCTGTACTCGGAGTTTACCCTTTGGTGCCATAGAATCAATATATTGGTGCCCACAGCCAGAATCACAGCAATCGTTGCTCATGCTACAGCCAACCAAGTTATCTGAAGCACAACTCGCTGTGTTTAGTAAACATTTAAGATTCAGTCATGTTCATCTTAAATCAACATTATTATTACGACTTCTTCTTCAGCATCACGTAAGCCCAATAAAGTCATTTTTGCTCTTTCTATAAAGATCACTTTCTGATGTCTGATGTGAAAAACATCCACTAGGAAATCACCTAGATACAATCATTTTTAATGTTCTAATATTAATACCAGTAATACTCGGTCAATATATGTTGTAGATTAGGGTTTTTTTTTAAATGGAGTCTCCTTTGTTCAAAAAGTCACATTTTAATTCTGTCCCAGTCTATAATCGCTTTGTATAATTGCTCTACTTCCAAAATCACTTCTAGACAAAGATGGCAGGCTTCCTCTCCTACCTGGTGTTTTCAGGGCAGCGGACGTCCCCTTGGTTCTGGGTGGTGTAATGCCCACCTGGGCTGTCATACCCCTCCTCCATGAGCCTGTTTGGGACATCTGGGCCAGCGCAGCTGCCTTCTGACTGGCGTCCTCATACTGGCCCTGGGTTTGGGAGGATGGGGAAGACGAGGAGGTCTTCCAGCGGGAAGAGCCACTGCTAGGATCCATGCTTGCATCCAGCTCCTCCTCTACCTTCTTCAGGTCTTCAGCTCCAGCCCAACTGCTGCTCACCACCTGCTCCGCATGCTTGGATCTGCTTCCTTTCTGGGACTGTGGGGGTTGTCATACAGAGAATCAGGGAGTGTACACAAACTGATAAATAGATGGAAGAATTCAGTAACAAAACTGTAATGCTTCTGGGCTGCAGTTTATACCAGTAAGTCTTAAAAGCATTACCTGATCATCACTGCAGTTCCTTAACAATATTTATAAAGAATGCAAAAAAATAAAAAATGCAGTGACAGGAAATGATTGCAAGCAAGTTTTATATCTTGGTTTGTCAACCCTGCCTTAAATGGAAGAAATCAAATAAGTCACAATGCTTTGAAAATTATATGCAATATTTAAACTATTGAAAGGTGACACACTAAAGCAATACAGTCAGCAAAGAGTCAGCAAAAAGAAGTAAGTCTCTGCACAAGCTGAGCAGTGTGGTTTATGTCTGCATGTGAAGTGTTAGCTATCTTTGGAATCTCCCACATCCACATCTCTGCTTTTGAGGCGCATATGAACGCACCCACACAAACTCAAACACATAGCAGTGACAGCTAGCCTACCGGAACAGATGGTCAGTCTCCCTAGCAACAGTAGAGTCTCTTAAGAGCCCAGTCTGTTAGGTATTTCATGAGGGGCCAAGAATACTTGGCAGAATACGGTGAACGTCTCTGAGGAGAACGGAGCACCGGCCCTCTGTCCACAGTTAATTCCTTGAGCACAAATATAGAAATCAAATTAAGAAAAATAGGAACTGTTCAAACTATAAAACTATACAGTCCTGCTCTCACTATAGCAAGTATGCATACTGCTGTGATTTGGTGCTATTGTTGCAATATTATCAAAGGAAATGTCAAATCACCATAAATCCTCAATCCCACATTGCCCCAATGCAATGCAACACCAAAAAAAATGAAACCCTCCATGCCTGCTTCTTTCACACACTCCACTGCCAGTTTATAATGGGAGCTTATCCCAACGGTAACAAAGCAAGTCAAGTAAGCGTGTAAAATTGTTGGTGTGTGCCTTGATCAAGACATAACACAAAGTTGAAAGAAATGTGAGAGTTTAAATAACAAGATGTGACAAGACATGCAAAGTCGTGATTTTCAAGTTGGTCACGGCAGGAAATGTGTTTTAGTTTGGGAGATAATTACTGTGCAACTAACACTGGTTACTCACAGCTGCTAATTGCTCTATAGGTATCATGACTGAGACTTGATGCTACATGCTCTGTGAGTGCGGCTTTGAACTAAACACTAATCCTACAATAACACCATGGTCACGATGGTAATATGCTTATCATTTATTACATTTAACTAAAACACATGAGGAGGTATTAGCGCATATATTTCATGAGATTATGGGAGAGTAGATGACTATGAGTGCATCCATTCATCTAATTTTTTCCTGCTTATCCAATTCATGGTCATGGGGGTTGATGGGGGGCTGGAGCCTATCCCAGCTGCCATAGGGTGAGAAGCAGGGTACACCCTGTGTGGGCTAACACAGAGAGACAGGCAAGCATTCACACTCACATTCACACCTATGGCCAATTTAGAATCACCAATTAACCTGAACTCCATTAACTTCATGTCTGTGGACTGTGGGAGGAAGTCGGAGAACCCACGCACACAAGGGGAGAACAGGCTAACTCCACACAGAAAGGTCCCAACCAGACGGTGGATTCAGACCCAGGACTTAGGCAATAGTGCTAACCACCACACCGCTCACGGCAGTGCTTTCATTCTAATAACTAGATATTAGACAAATATCTAATATCATCAAAGAAACTAAAACTAACAATGAAAATAATAAAAACTGACCAAGGAAACAATCAAAACTGAACTGAAAAGAGTCAAACAAACTGAAATTACAGTTGAAAATAAATGGGCAAAGCTAAAATAAACAGTTTAATGTGAAACTGTATAATAACTTTGATGCTTAGCAGATGTAACATTAATCAAATTCATCCTGACCTGTGACCATTAATACTAACCCCCCCCAATCATACTATATGTAGCAACTTATAATATTTTTGCCACATAAATAAATGAAAATGAAGCATTATGACATATGGTGGTACTAATGTAAACATTAACATCTGCACCAGAATTTATGGTAATCTCTCTAATTAACAAATGAGTAATTTTGCCTGAACCCATAGAGGCAGAGACATGGAACAGAAGCTTAAAAAAGTCATAGATGATGACGAGCCACAGACAACGTGTGGCTATCCCAGCTGTGAGCCTATTTGAGGCTATCGAATGGTTATTTTTTATGTGCTCACCTGCGCTCCTTTGCTTTTGCGCGATGAGCTGACACAGGAGTATGCAGGTGTGTTCAGATCATCAGTACTGATGTTGTCCAGCGTGTCACTTAGGCCGCTGCTCACTGAGCTGCTGTCATCCCAGCTACAACAGGAGAGAGAGAACGGACAAAGAAGAAGACAATGGTGAGGCCAAAAGAAGAATGAAGGTGAATCTTTTAACCATCCACGATAGCAAATCATTTCCAGTCATCAAACCGCTGTGCTCCTTTAGTGCATAATTTGATATCATGAGTTTTTGAGACTTCACAGTTTAATTGTTTTCCCCACAAAATGACATTTGTAATGTAATGTAAATTTATGTGTTTGCAAGCTCAAGCATTATTTGCTGCTATCAGACATAATTAATCACCTGCAGTAATAATACATTAGTTTGTATTTGCTTTCACTGAGCTCTTACACACATATATTCAGACAGGCAAACTGAGAGTCGGCCGGCACTATAGATGTGACAGCTCACAGACACATGTACAGTCCTGACAGTCCTCACACACAACAACTGGTTTACATACCAACATATCGAGTCTCATCTGTGTGTGTGCTTGCCTTTGTGTGTTGGTCTGTGTGTGTTTTGATGACACGCCCGTAATTAGCATGACAAATCTAACCAAATAGCTCCAAGACTTTAATTTCTGAAAAAACAAATAAAGATGTACCGAAATGAGTGCTCACACCACATCACCCTATAATATTCAAACAGACAACAATGTCAAGGGGCTTTGATATGTCACAAATGTTCATTTTGTTAAAAAAAATGATAAAATCAGAATTAAAAACATAAAGAATGAAATTCTGGAAATGGAGAACCCAGAAAGCAGGAGAGGCGGGATAGTAGGAGAGCTGGAGATGTGCAGACATGTGCAGAAGAAGCCCAGAGAAAATGATGGTGCTGTTGAGTCAAAAGCATAAGAGCTGTTATGCTTAAAACATGCATATAACTTGACTTTTGTTCCTTTTAATTGTGTTTTTAGGCATGATAATAAAGAGAAAAACCTACTCTACTCCTGTTTCCCAAACCAAGGTGTACAAAAACACAGTGCCTGAGTGTAGGCACTAAATATTAATCGGTGGTGTATATTCACTTGACACCTGTAATGAATTTAGCGGTGAGCAGACACCTAGCAACCCAGTTGTCCACTGGTGCAATGCAAAATTGATTTGGTCTTCTGACAGATTTCAAATGAGCAACATTTATCTTCACAGCCCAAATCTGACCAGGCCCCTGACTCATAATGTCTGCAGGAAACTTTAGGTGAAACAATCTGTAATGAGATCAACATTTCTAGAAATTTAGGCTGGAAAAAAACCTGCCCCATGTAAAAAGAAATATTTCTATAAAAAAAGCACAAAAGCAAACATCAAAAGCCAGTTTCTTATTCTGTCATTCTAATTTTTTATTCTGAGATTTCATTTTCCTTCAACTCAAAGCCATTATTGGAAAAACGTCTCAGAGATGGAGGAATAAAGCACAGCAGAAGCTTGTCGCACAAAAAATAAATGGTATCCCAGCTGTCAGTCTGAGCTTTTCAGTCGTGTATCTCCAGCTTTAGAGGAGCTATTCAACAAAAAAGAAGCTGCTGTTGAGCACTGAGAGTGAGCTTCTAATATCAAACACAAGTCAAACCAAGTGTTGCACTCAGTGTGTTTCTGCACATGCCAGACTTTTACAAACAAAGCTTGATCAATGGCAGTGAAACATGCCTGGCTTGCTTTGCTTTAATCTTTTCCTCTTAAGCTGATACTGCGGCTTACCTTTCACTGGATGAGTGTCCATGGTAACTGTACAGGTTTGTTCTGGTTTTAAGATGCATTTAAAATTTTGGTGGTGACAGGCTGCCAGGTCACCTTCATGATCTGATTTAAAGTTACCCCTTTGCTCAGCACAGCTTGTCTCACAAACTACAAAAGTGACAGGGGGAGTTACGCCGCACACTGCTGCTTCCTGTGAGACCAGCCTTCCTCAGCGTGACAGACAACAGGGGCAGATGGAGTCTAACTTAAACCTCCAAATGAACTTGGGAGCCCTCCAAAATAAAACCCCCGCCAAAAAACCATTTTTGTTAGCAGAAACACAGAAAGATGTCTTTTATGTCTAATTAAACTTAAAATTATTGATATGAAAAGCTGAACATTAAATTCTCAGAGGAAGACCTATTTTTAAGACAGGATAAGCAGAGATCAAAGACAGATGGTTTTGCACACCAAAAATCATTCAAGCTTCTTTTAAAACTTCTCTGTTTACACACTGTTAGCAATTTCCTCCAAACTGAGATTAACTGGACTCGATAAATCAAGTGCTGAGCAGTTACAAAATACAAACGAGGGAATGGTGAAACAGCAGTGGGAAACTATCATCATAATAAGTAAGCAAAGGCAGATGGCAGTGAAAAAGCTCACTGACTTCAAAATAAGACTTATTTTGCACTGGTCCCCTGGTAACAACAGATTGCCCTTTCATTCTTTGGTGGCCTCTCTAATGTAAAATTAAAAATCATCTTTGTGAGGAATTTTTCTGAACGGTCGGGGAACGACTGAATGACTTTTTACATAATTAACTCTGAATCACGCTGAATTATTGCTGCATGCATAACTACAAAATGCAGATGTTCAATATCTTTATCATCCACTTCTTTAAAAATCCATCTTCAACCAATTTATGTTAAACAGTATAATGAGCAATGGCAGCATCTTTCTTTAGTGAGACAGTGTTGCTAATGTTGGTGCTATATTTGGAGAAAAATAGAGAATTCTTGGAATAAACAAGATGATATTTTGGGATTCTAATCACACAAAATATACTGAACAAAACAAAGGAAAATAAGTTCCAGATATCTCAGCACAAATTCAGGTAACAGCTGAGCACTGGTATTGATCAGCTCCCACATATCCTGCACAGAGCTCAGAGAAGACTCCTATTACTGGAGCTTCAGTGTTAGTTGAGCTCAGTGACCAGTAATGGATTACTGGTCTTGGTTTGTGTGATTTGGCTGGGGACTGCTGCAGAGCAGCATCCACGCTCTGTGGAACTTCCTGGGATAAAGTGTTGATAATACAAAAAGAAAACAACAATACATTCTCCTCCTCCGCTTTAGAGCCTGGCTGACTGTAAGGGGCTGAATATTTTATCAGGATGACTCCCTGAAACTGGCAGAACTCTGACTAACCAAGCTCCTCCTCTCAGACTTGCACGTCACAGCATCTCCTACTGGAGAGAGTGGTATCCTTAAAAATGGCACAGACGAACTCAGTAACCCAACAGCAGGAGGCAGGCGGGCCGGACTTCTGTGTCATAGCTTCTTAAATTAACAATAAGTCACAATGTACAGAACAGACTACTTGAGTGGAGATACTGGCTTCTCTCCCTTATTTCAAAAGCAAGGCAGTAAAATGAGAAGATGGTGTGAATCAAGTCATAGTGTGAAAACATGTGACTTCCCTCGTGATGCTGTGATGTCTCCAGCTGTAATGTCCTACATAGTGCAACTTGTTATAAGTCAGTATAGGACATATTCAGTGGTATCAAGCTGTAAGGTAACTAGTGCTATAAAAAGGTTTGGCCCATTTTTAAGTCCCCGGGACCTGCTGGGGAAATCTCAGCATGGAAAATCTACAAAAAAGGACGTTAACAAGGCACCTGCTGACCCAAAAGGAGCTTGAGTAAAAAGTGCTCATGAGCTAAAGACCTGCTGGACTGATGTTTTTATTTCACTGCAGATTCTATTGTAAATCTTTGATTTTCGCAAGGTGCCTCCATGCTGTGAATGCATTGAAGGGCTCCATTCAACCATGCAAACATCATCTCATGCAATATTCAATACAGCTGGTCTTGTTCCTTCCACAGCCCAGAGGAGAAATGCTATTAGCGACGTGAGCAAAGGCTAGCACTCGGGATTACACTTTATCTTGGTGATAAGCGTGATTTTGATGAGTACTTTAATAAATATTTGGAGGCGGTAGTACTGAAAAGTATTAAATTGGTATCGTACAGATGAAAGAATGTAACATTTCCTCAGAGGACCTCTTATGTAACAAATCAGGAAAGAAAAACACGTAAGTTTGTCACATTGAACACATTTAAGTGTGTTCATTTTTATGTTTTCAGCTAAAAGAAAGATTTGTCAAAAGAAAAAAACAATACTAAGACAGTCATTTAAATGACGGGGATAAACAGGAAATTGAAGTGACATGAACACAACAATTACCTCAGACGACCAAACAATAAAAAACATTCAGAGATAATAATCAAACCTGATGAGCAGCATTTTAATTTAGTCTAAAACAGTGGAGTGGATTGTCTTTGAAACAGTAAATACCTCTTAGGACAAATGTAGAGACTTAAATAATGTAAATGGAAAGCACTCATTTGCATAGAGACTAATCCAAATTAATGCCACTGAGCTCCTGCAGTAAGACTTTAAAAAAAAAACATTAAAAAATGCAAGTCATAGACTTGAAATGATTTGCAAGCAATAGGCTCATTTTCTCCTCGGATGGAGTTCTTACAGAGCCGAGCTATCAGAACAAACTGTACAATATGACGGTGCTCAAAACACACACGACAGTGTTCACAGGTTCAAAACAGAGCTTAGGTATAGAGCAGTTTCCAGCTTTGCCATCAACTTACCTCCCATGGGTTGGGTGTTGTCTGTTGTTTTATCAAAGAAGAGTTCTACTTTGTTCAATACCACGCCTACACTACCAAGAGGCAAAACCCCACCTAGCAGAGAAGCTAGGAGCTGTGGCTCGACTGGGAGTCAAGAGAGGAAATGGAAACAAGAGAGAGAGAGAGAGGAGCAAAGGAGTCACTCAGTCTTCCACTTTTACCCACTGCTACTGCCAGCTCCCCCTCCTCTCTCTTCGTCTCCCCTCCCAACCAGGATGGGCCTCTGCCAGCCAAGGAGTGCCAGGAAGACATGTCGTCAGCAGGGGGTTACTAAGGGTTAATTAAATGAGGATGACAATGCAGAATAGAGTCAAATCAAAGAGGAAGGTCTTTGCTGGAGAGCAGAATTTGTTCTGTCTTTGGTAAAAGCCTCTGACTGGAAGTGACCTCATGAATAATGCGTGAGATGCTCAGCAACGACT